GGGTGAATTATATAATTCAATCAGCTGAAATTTTTTTGATGCGTGAGTGTGTTGTTTATGAGTAATGTGAGTATATATCTCAATGCATGTATGTTTGCTTGGGTGTAATGCTTTCATGTCTATAGAGCTTACGTCAGCTAAGCTAAGTCAAGCAGAGTGTGATTTTTTTTTTATCTTCAGCATTATGCTCCTGATTTTCATATCTATCCTTCAATATTCTGAATGGTAAATTTGAAAAACTTGGAAAAAAAGGTCTCAGTCAAAACCAGTTTTAAGTAATAGCTACCGAGCACTTACAGTGACCTATTTATTTAATGTTAGAAAAATATGATCTTCACTTATAAAATTGGAACCATAAAAGGAAAGAGAGACAGTTGTATATTGAAGATACCGAATAAAACAAAGAAAAGGATGGAGACAGAAAATAGGCTGGTGAACGAAGAATGAAGAAGAGGGAGCAAGTCCATTTTCTGGATTATTCTAGATGTTTCTGAGCTCAGATGCCTTCTGTGTTAGACTTCTTTAAATTTCTGAGTATTGAGTAGATAGTCACGCTGATAATCAACTTGGTAAATGTCTCAGCTGCAGCCACTGAGCCAATAGGAGTCTCTCAGTCACAGTTCTTTGCTGTCCTCTTCTTGGCCATGGTAATGCCATCTTCCAAGGCAAGAGGTAGTTTGGGAGGGCTCTCTCATTTTCGCAAGAAGTCAGAAGTGTCCTTTTATCAGCTTTCATTTAGAGCCAGCTAAAGGGCAGAAGAGAGGAGAAGGAGGGCCCTTCTTGGATTTAGAACTTCTCTAGAAGCCCCCATGTCAGTGCTAGATTTTGCAAATGTGTCATTAGAACATTGCCATTCTGTAATGGAACTTTGAATTGTTTACTTCTGTTTACGTCCAGCTTTCCCTCCCAGAAAAGTAGATATTAAAGAAACTGAAATCTGAACTGGAAACTAGCTCAGGGCATCTGGATGCACCTCTCTTGTTCTCTGACGTCTTAGTCCATGCTTCTATTCCCCTTCTCCCAGACCCCTACCTCACCTGCTTGACAGCTCATAATCACGGCCTTTCCTTTTCCATTGTTCACATAGCAATCGTTACCAGGCTCCTTTCTCTGCCTCCAACCAGTCTACTTTCAAATTCATTAATCAAAATATGCTAGAGTAACGTTAATACTTCGGAATTATCCCACTACCCTTCTGGTTCAACTCTTCTATGACTCCACTAATGTTTATAAAATAATGCTATTCAGAACCTTCCCTAGTCTTGCCCTCATCTGCATGAAGGCACTTGACATTTATTTATCTCTATATGACTTATCCCATATTCTAAATTATTTTCTATGACTTCATCTTCCTTATTTTCTTCTTGTTGCTGTCATTTTCCTGTAACTTTCCTACGTTGCTTGTTCCAACAGTCTTAAGTATGAATTCCTCCTAAAATCCTTTTCTGATTCTACCTAGTAAAAATAATCTTGTCTCTAGATTAATTTCCCTTGTGCTTTATTCATACTCTCCTTAGGGAATTTACTAAATTCATATGCTAAAATCATTTGCATAGTATTCTACTGTGTGTGTGTGTGTGTGTGTGTACATGTGTACGTGTGCGTGCACCATAATTTTAGGACTAAGGAGAAAAATTATGTGATTATGAAGTATAAAAGGCCTTAGTCAAGCTCAACATCCATTTCTCATAATAAATAATAAATAAAGCAGTTCAAAATGGTTGCTTGACATAATGAATGGCCTTAATAAATAGGTGGTTAGAAAGACTGACAAGTAACTGAAATACCACGTATAATTTGTGGTGGCCATAAAGATTGGTATCACTGCTTAAGAAAACTCTTTAACCCAGAAATGCCATTCCTAGATACCGGGCCAACAGACATGGACAAAAATGTGCATAGGAGCAATATTCTTAATAGTCACAGATGGAAACCACACATGTGTCATCAAAAATAGAATGATAAATTGTGCCATATTTATAAATCAAAATATTATGCAGAATAGAAGTAACAAAAACGAATACTACTAACCATATGAGTTAGTTTGGAACAGAAAAAGATAGACATAAAAGGTGTGTGCTTTATGATTCATTTATATAAAGTCAAAAAGTACGTGCAGGTTATCTGTGGTGATAGCAGTTTAGATTGGTGACTACAACGTGTAATGACTGGGAGGTGACAAGAGGGAGGTTCCTGGGGAGCAGATCCTCTTCTAGATTTTTATCTGTGTCATGTCACGCAGGTGTATTTACATTTTAAAAAGATATCAAGCTGTACAGTGATATTTACGCATTTACCATATTAGGTATGCCGTACCTCAGTAGCAAGTTCAAAATGAATAATCATTGCAGTGAATTATAATATATTGAATGAAATAAAGGAAGAACCCATGGGTCCAGGAGTAATACTCAATAATTAAAAGAAGAAGAGGGCAAAATTGTACATACAGAAGAATGTAAGATATTAAACTTAGAAGGGATGGTAGAATAAGAAAAGCCCCAATTTTCAAACATGTAACTGATG